CTCCGTGAAATTACGGTCAAAGATGCAGAACAAAACCGGCAAAACATTTTATGTTCCTACGCAGTTTTAGCCGTTTGAACTTTTGTTTGACGAATGATTATTTATTTTGTCCATCTCGAATTCTCAGGTTGATCGAAACTTCAGAAATTATAGTTTGGCTTTGCTAAAGATTCAAATGCATGATATTAGATAAAATTTAACAAATGTTGAAATCCTAATGAAGTCTCAGTACTAACGCATTTGTTTTACACGCTTCCAATGATTGACTACTGGTTTTTTGGATCCACACGTATCAGCCGTTGCGAACAACAAAAGGCGTTTCGAAGTCAGTCAATCAACCTCCTTACATTGAAGGAAGCCTCTGAGATGCGGGTTAGAACGTCGGTACTGGTGAATCATGGATTGACCATGTTGTCTGCGTTGTGTGTAAATAAACAACGTTCCATGCTGCTTTCCGTATTCCACATGTTTTTCAGTTGTATGTATGCCTATGAATCGTGTTTATGCATGATCAGGAGATAAAAGTTTGTTCTGATGCTAGCATAGAGAAGCATAACCGGTTTCTGATAATCTGATTATTAAAAACTGTTATTTTCAGGTTTGAAGTCTGCTTGATTCTGAAAAATGATAAACTTTCAAAGTAATTTATTTTATGTCTTCTAGTTGTCAAGAGTGACAGATCAGAGAAAGACAGTCACGTGAGCTGCATGAACAGAAATACGGGAAAACTTTAAAGCTTGGCACCCAAAACATGCTGCCCAATTTTTCCCCTCATATTCCTTTTTAGCCCCAGAAAGACTAATGAGCCAGTGCGCAGAAAATACATTTCGATATGAGTTTTTTTCTAAGTTTTCGCCTATTTCTTCCTCTCTGTCCGTCTTCATACCCTACAGAACTGTCGCTGACAAACAGTTTCTTACCATTTTTCCTACTTGCTGATATCACGTCATTTTATAAGCTGTTTTTCTATTAATTTAATTCAATTAAAATACGTTCAATGATCAAGTCTTTCATGATGGAGTTGTTTATGAATTCTATATTGTCTTGAAAATTTTTTTGCTTTGATCTTTAAGATCACTTTTTTTACCTGTAGCTTGTATTTTTCACTTTACTCAAGATCAATATTTCCGAACCATACACAACTCCCAACCGAACCAGAGATTCATGCAGCAGTAACTTCAGTACTTTTGCATGTTTCTCTAAATTTGTCAGATTGTTCCATTTTTGCAAAACCAGATTGTACCATCTGGCTAGTTGCTGATGTATTCTTGATTTTTTAATAATAATCCACAAAGATTCACAAATTATGATTTCTAAGTTGAACACTACCTCAGTGACGAGGCGTTTGATGGATTGATGAACTTGGCTTATGCACATGTGCTTAATTATCGTTCTGAATTAGCCTTTCCAAGGGATGTCGTCAGATTTTAGACCTTTTCTTAGTTGATTAAAGCAACAAGCCATTGTCATCGCTATAGTCGGCAGCTTTTTTCGATTTCAGGAAGAATGAATCTTTATCCCTTCGTCCTTTCACTCCTGCTCCTACCTCGGTTTTGCATGTCTTGGTAATAAATAATTTACAATTTCGAAATGCCATTTGATTCCTTGAATTCATGGACATTCGTTTAATATCTTTTTTTTTAGATTATGATAAGGATATTGCGCTCTCGCTCATTAAAGAATGTCCGATGACAAACTGCTACGGCGTAAACTGCAGCATGGTGAAAGAATTCAACGACTGTGATACGTGCGCCTGTCCCATCGGTTAGTTTCTTTTTTGTCTTTCTCTTAAAATACCCATTTAAAAGCAACTTAATTTTACACCTAAAAATTCCAACTTTTCAATGCGAATAACTTTTGGCCTGACATATGGTGGCCCTTAAAGCCATTTTAATTGAAAAGGGGGAGAGTTTTAATAAAATTTGTATGCATTGAATGAATCTATGTGACATGAATTACTCTGAAAAGATGTTTTCCCTCAAGCGCCCCTTTGGCATAAAATTTAACTGCTACTTATACAGGAAAGTCGAATTAGTTAAAAACTGGACTTGAGATCAGAGACACTCTGAAAACAATTTTGTTGGTAAGCCTTGCCGAATCAACATTTGATCTAATTCCTTTCATTTTCTGCTTATTATGAAAAATAAATTTCGCTGATCTGAGAAAGGCAAACAATGCAGCCCAGCCAATTTTGCTCACACAAAACTGATCTTGTTTTTTCATAATTTTGCATCAGCATTTATTGGTGCATAAATATGCAACAGCAACAACTATCGTGGCGGTTGTCGTTGCTGCAACTGTCATGGTCGATGACTTAGCGCCGAAGAAGTCCCGGATTGCAACGTTCCCCCTCTATCGATCACTCGCAATGTGCGCCACGAAATTCAGCCTTCTAGTCTTTTTCCTTCCTAGTTCTTGCCTCTATGCTTACTTCCCAGGCAGGCCTTAATCGTCACCCCCAACAATGTCCCGTCAAGTCGTAAATTGTCCTCCTGCCTTCCGGTGCCACTGAGGGATCAGAGTGACCTTCGGTGCATTGGAGCTGATGTTGTGTGGTGGATGTTTTATCGCTTCCCTCAGTCAACCAGGACTTCTCTCAGGACACTAGAAATGTGGCTTATTTCCAGAGGGCTGCAACTGTGGATAAATCTGGTTTAGTCAACAGTAAACGTAAGACTTGTATCTGAGGCCCTCGAACATTGTTCGAATGAATTGAAAAACTTGTTTCTACTTCGGTTTATTAACGGCAACATAAGCATGGTTTATTAAGCACAGGTAATGTTGACATTATGAAATTTGACATTAATTTGGATCATATCCACCGTTGGCAGATGCATCACTGAAAATAGTGTTATTCCAAAAAGGTACCCGTTGCCAACATCTACTGCGTTACGATTTATTTAATAAGCTATGTTTTGGCGTACTTATGGCAACAGAACAAAATTAAGAATATCACTGACTTCACTTTGCACTTAGAGACATGATGACATGGCGTAGAAATTGTTGAAAATGCATATTTGCTTAAGTTGTTCCGATGATCCCAGTGATACCATATGGATGCGAAACTCAGACCCTAAGCGTTAAAGCTGTTCATAAACTTCAGACCTCGCAATGCGACGTTTGAAGTTGATTGTTGGGAATGGAAAGATGAAATAGCGAATCCAACATATGGTAAGGAGCACGAAGACGAGTCTGCCATGTCATGCATGAGTGAAGAAGCTGAGGCAGCAATGTGCAGGACATGTCTGTCCTTCGATGGACCAGGGAGACATTAGACTCAGTTCAGCGACGAAGCAAACGGCTGGCAGAAAGAACCTCCAAATCGATGTCGGAAGGAGTTGAAGAATTTCGATAAGTCGAAATGGATTAAAATGTCAGGAAACAAAAGTCTATGCAATTTTGGAAATGCTATCATCCGGTTTTATTGAAAAAAAATCAGATTATGAGTTAGATGGGACAATACCAAACGTCCAAGAAACAGAGTATTGGGAATAATATTTTTAAAAGTCAAGACATCATGTATCAAAAGAGTCTGTACCGACAGAAAACAACTTGACCCACAGCATAAACCAAAATCTTGTCCTCTCGCTCCAAGCCAAAGGAAGAACTTTTGAAATCGGTTCTCTCTACATGCATGATTACACCGTGTTTGGTGCTGTTTTTAGTGCTCACTGCTCAATTTTTGGAGGCGGTATCCCGAACAATTAGACAGTATATTTTAATTTCTGACATTAAAAACATGAAGAATGTTGATTTATCCCTCTACAGATATCATCCATAGAAATCGTTTTCGTTTGTCAGATATTCCGTTCTTCTGGTGAATGAACTGTTATTATCGTTTCAAAGGAGGTTAAAACACAGTAAAACCGGGTTTCACTGATTTCATATGAACGCCGGTCACCAGTTCCTTTTCCAGTTTTGTGGCATGAATGTTCTTCTAATAGACATATGTGCCTTTAAAGCAAAGGGTCATGTCCCAGTTCCGGATAACAAAGCCCCGCTTCCCGACATTTGTGGATTTCGTTGCAGGCATTTACGCTTATTAAAAATTGGACTTTAGATAAAATTTACAATAATCAGATGAAGTGTCAGTCAGTTAGTTTCGAGGATCGCTTATCTTATCCTGTCGCAGGGATAACGGCGTCAGACAATGCCACCAATGTTCCAAATTCAGGACCAAAGTCTGAGCTCTGGCAGAAGATAGCCGAGTCTGAAGCAGAGGCCATCGAGGCACCTGCTCAAGGTCATTCATGGACGTCCCATAAGTCTTCAGCTATTATGACACGTCCAATAAGGTTTCAGAGGTTGAATTATTAAAATTTAAGATTATATTTATTAAGATTTGTTTTCGACCATTTTCAAGTACTGATATAATTCAATGTTTAATTCTTGATCATAT